GTTTTTTTGTAGTTGAACCTAGTAAGATTATGTTCCCTATATAAAATACTGTACCCCAAAAGGAGGATATAACCTTACTCTAAAATGGGTACCATAGTATCCCCAAATTAAATACTACTCACTTGATTTGGGCATTGCTAGGGGCTATGCCAGACTTCCCTGCTTGAAGTAAGAGAGGCCTCGAGAGCCTTTGGTACAGAGCCCTGGCTACTCAGCTAGTACCATCACATACTCAATCCTGCATTCCTGTTGAAATACTATTAAACAAGATCATGTTTAATCTATACTGGGCCCAGGTATACAAAAAATGTAACCTGTTGTTTAACAAGAACCCTGAATCACACAGCACTCCACAAACTCAACAAACATGGCATAGGCAGTGACAATAATCAGCAACATTGGCATATTTTATGTTATGCGCCCCGTTGCGCCCGAGGCAACAGAATGAAGCTGTGAGGTATACGCGTGATCTTGTTTGGGGCGCATTCTATCTACTTAAGGGTATAATCCCAACATATACCCTAGTATGATATAGTAGTTTCCATTTTCTTTTGCATTATCCCTATATTACCGGCATTGCTTCTCTTGCGGGGCCCGATTGTTTGGTACGGGGCACCCGAAAGCCTTCTTCTAGACGCGGAGTCGGCTAACACGGATGCAAACCACACCGCTCCCTCTGAACAACAGGCTGAAATCCAAACACCTCAAACCTTGAATACCAACCCCTGTTCTCCTCAACCACAAACGCCAAAAAAACCCTAAACTCCAAAGGTCCTAAATCCTAAGACCAAGCCCTTAAGTTAACACGGCTGAGGCCGCAACTGCTAACGCAGAACTCCCGCGCAGGGGTGTGGCTGCAACCTTTCATGTCAGGAAGTCTGTGCATTTCTTGACAAGCCTAGTGCCCCTCAAATGTGCGTTCTAATTCCCTGTCTGAGTCCTCTGAACTCCTCTGGGTTCCTTGCAACTCCTTGGGTTTAGGGTTTAGGGTTCCTTGCAACTCCTTACTACTATAGTATATTGGGGTTATATTATATTGGGGTTCCATTGGGGTTATATTGGGATAATGGAAAAGAAAATGGAAACTACTATAGTATATTGGGGTTATATTCTTGGCAACTCTACACTACCTTTGTGTTTTCAAGCATTGAAATTGCTCCTAGCTGGAACCAGCCTGAGAGTCTATTCCAACCAAATACCCTCCCCCAAACTATCATGGAATCCTCAAAAGGGTCCTCTACCGCATGTCTAATCTTGGATGTGGACAAACTGACATGATCTCTTTCGCCATGTTGAATTTTGTGCTGAGCTCTTCCCGCAAAGCTTAGTATGGCACATCTCGTTCAATGCGCGGACCCTTTCTGCTCCCAGAGGAGCGCTGGACCCAGATGCAAAATTCCAAGGCACCTCCTTCTTGTTTATAAAATACGTGCCGCTGCTCATATTGGGTTCCATGCTAGTTTGGGGCGTGGGGTGCTCACTCACGGAGAACCCTCGGAACATTAACGTGCCTTAGGATTTTGAAATTATGTGAACTTTAGTTATCAAGTGCCAAATTGTTCAAAGCTTCTGAGCCGGCGGCCAGTGTTCCGACCGCTGCCGCAGCAATGCCTTACTAAAGTTGCTGCAGGGGGGTGGTGGAGGGAATATGAATAGTTACCCATTTAGATGATCAGAGAAACTATGCGGAACCACTCTCCCAGTCTCCCTTAAGCACCAGGAAGTCAAGGGTGGAGGGTTTCAGCATGGGCCTGGGTGGTGCAGGCGCAGGATTAAAAGGCCAACAAAAGCCGGAAATTGGGCGAATGCGCAACATTCTAACAGTTTGTAGAATGCCAAGTTCTAATGTCTGGAAGGTTTACGCTAATAATCCAAACAGCCCAATGTAGGTAATATTTACAGACTTTGGGGGCCAACGTAGGTATTGTTTGTATACTTGGATCCTTATATAGCCCCTTTGCAGCCCCAGTTTCCATTTCATTTTCCATTTTCTTTTCCATTTGATTCTCCATTATAACCCCAATATAACCCCAACATAAGCTCTATAGAATCCCTATAACCCCTGTGGTTTCCATTTTCTTTTCCATATAGCCCCAACCCTAAAGGGCTAGAGTTTAGGGCTCTGGGTTTACCTGGACGCAGGTTCCGACTTCGGATGCCTTAGGCGTTGGGTGAAGTTCACGAGCTCGCACTTGCGTCTTATAGCACGCAAAGGGCTCGGGGTTAGTGTACGTATATGCAAGTACTCCACTTCGCTTAAGTACTTTGAAAGGAAACGTATGTTTTGACAAAGCCCGCAACTGAAACATCAACGCAGCTGCCTCGTCTTTGGCGGGACCATCGCCGTAATCGGATCTCACACAACATTCGGATCTACCGTGGAGACCTGTGTGATGCTTCCACGTGACTGGATTAGTCTTGCATCAGAACAGGAAAACAGCAGATTGCCACGATCAACAGCCTACATTCGGGTTCTGACAGTCATTGAAAGGCTGGGTATGGTCATGAATCGATATTCTCTCCCGGATAGGCTGAAGTAAACTCCGCGCTGCAAATGCTGCCTATCGATGGCAGGCCAATTTTTCTAGACCCCCAGATACACTCACCAAATACCCATAGGTAGTCAAAAGTGTTCCCACTGAAGCTAGCCTCTATTTAATTGTCCATTTGCTTGTCCATTTGATTTTCCATTATAGGGGGATAATATGACCACCCTAAACCCTAAACTTATTGGGCTATTTGGAGCCCTAGGGCCTTGATTCTGGGTGATGGCTTAGAGTCAGAGGTGCTCCTGGCAAGTCTTGGGCCTCGCCGGCTGCTGGCTGCGAGTTTCGGGATTTGGAGAGTGTTTAGGGCAGGTTAGGATTTTTGACCTAGGGTAAACAGAATCAAAGAGCACTCTATTTCTTGGGTTTATATCCCTATTATGGTCATAAAATCCTAACCTGGTTTAGGGTTTAGGGGTAGTCTATTTCAATATGCTCTCAAATCGTGACTGCAATATAGAGTGGTAAGCAGGTAATATACTTTTGAGCTGGCTTTGCGCCATTCTAACTGCTTGCTCCCTGGTTGCATTCTACAAGTAATGTAAACGCCTACAGTAAAGTCAGCAGTAAGCGTGGCAATAGCTGTGATAGTCGGGACAGCTTATTCTTAGTAGTACCAGTAGAAGCAGTAGCAGCAGCAGCAGCAGCAGCAGCAGTAGTAGTAGTACGAGCAACAAGAACAACAATTGGGTTGCTTTTAAGGAACTTAAATTAGGTTGCCATCATGGGTATCTATAACAATTAATAGGGTTTCCCCAATATAGTAACTGGGAATCAATTTCCTTAGCGCAAGGGATTACAATGGTACCCCCCAAAGGTACCCCCCCCCCCCGAGATTTAGATGCCTATTAGGCCTTATTCAGACCTACATAGTCCTTATTAGCTCCTTAAACCCCGGGGGGGGTACCTTTGGGGGGAGTACTATTGTAATCCCTTACAACAGCACCCCAGACTCTTAGTCGTGTTGCCTGACCTCTTTCAGGCCTGAGAAGTCTCAAGTTGATCCTTTGGCAGATTCCAGTTGGCCCGAACCCTATGAATCCTGGATAACTCTATAAAGCCTAAACCCTATAAATCCCTATCTATCTATATATATATATATATAGCCCCTATAACCCTTGTGATTACAAACGTGCTTTGCACTTAGGCAGCCGAGACGTTTCTGAGAGTTCAATTTTTTTGGGGACCCCTACTTGGAAGTTCATTTGAGCTATAGTCTAAACTCCTGTAGGGGAGTTATATAGGGGACTATCTAGGGGAGTATTATAAAGGTTATTAAGGGGGATACCTGGAAGTTAAACTATGGCTCATGCACAGATATCCGAAGATTCAATGCAACTTTGCAAAAATGTACCGGGCTCGCGCACTCGCACTTAGAAGCAAACATGAACCTACGACGCTTAACCCCCCAGCTCTAGACCCAACCTAGACCCTAAACCCTAAATCCCAAGCCCTCAATCCACGATTTTCTTCGAGCCGGCTTTGCGTCCTCCCCCACAAAGCTCACAGGATTGCTGCCGGACCGGATTCCGGCTTAGGGTTTAGGTTGGGTACTGCCCCCCCCCAGTAACAATCTATATTAGGAGTCCTATTAAGGGCTATATATAACCATATTATCATGTTTAGGGTCTTGGTTTAGGGTTTAGGGTGTCAGGGTTCAGTCCTTCAAGGCTGGTACGTTTAGCGTCTACTTAGTTTTAGGGTATAAGATTTGGGACCTTAGGGCTGTACACTTGAGGGATGGTAGGCTTAGACTTATAGTCCCCCTTAAGTAGATAGAACATGGCTTTGGGTATATTATAATAAGATCCCATATACCCCATATTCTATCTACTTAAGGGGGACTATAGGTTCTCAAGGTACTCGTGTTTGGCATCGGGGCTTAGGGGTATCTAGGTTTCTAACGAGGCGCCGGCAGCGACCCTGTGACAGATTGCAGCTCATGTCCCACAACCCCAAAGGCCGCAGCTCCCACGGAAGAGGGGAAGACCAGGCAGCCTTCTGGTTTCCATTTTCTTTTCCATTATCCCATGATCCCTGTTACATTATAGTCGCTTCCATTTTCTTTTCCATTATCCCTATTCTATTATAGTAGTTTCCAAGTTTTGTTCATTATCCCTAAATTGTAAGAGCTTTCTGCCTTCAACTTTTAGAGGCTCGTAGGCTTAACCATGTTGCGCAGGCATGTAAGCATGCCCCTTGCAAGGTGTAAAAATAAACGCTCTTCAAGCTCACTAGCGCATCTAACGTTGCTGCCAGGCACCATGTGCAAACTGCAAGGAGCGATCGTGTGATTTTCAAGGCTAGGAATAACTCTTTGTTTGGTTCATGATATTTACATGGTGCAGATTTGCGTGCAGGTTTGAGGGCTTTGGACGCAAGTCTTGGGGGCTTGGGATCTTCATGCCGGAACCATCCCCTAAACCCTGGTTTTTCCATTTGCCCTGTATAAACACCTACATATCCCTAAAACCTAAATAGTAGTTTCCACTTTCTTTTCCATGATCCCTAAACCTGAATCCCTAAATCCCTTCTCGTTGCACAAGTCTCTCCCATTCTTCCGGGCTGCTCCTCACGTGTCGCGGTTCCGCGGCCGTTGATCCAGAGCTTGACCAAACTTCGTTGTGCGGTGTTCAAGAAAAGGTCTTCGGGAATTTGGAAACTTGAATTTCCCAAGATAAGCGTTGGTTAGCTCTCTGGCCATTGCGGCTGTCGATGCGGCCGGCAACAAGGACTACCCTCGCCAAACGAACATGAAACCCCAGAAGTGGGCCTATAAGGATCACTGTCCTTCTAAAAGGGTTCAGTGGAGTATACTCCCTGATACAATGCCCTACATAAGCTCCTCTAAGTCCTCCCCTAAATAATCCTCTACATGAACCCCTGTAAGGAGTTTAGACTAAAGCTTCAGGGGAGTTTCATGGTAGTTGGGAAGAGGGTACCATGAGCGAGGTTGGCCCATCTCAGCGTTTTTCCTGAGCCTACGTCGAAGTCGGCTTGGTCTGCCTTCTTGACTTCTGAGCCCCCCTGGTTCACTGCCACCAAACACAGGGGCCTAAACAATTACCAAAATCAGTTTAAGGTCCATTTGAGGTACCATATGCTATAAGTATAGAAGGACGATGGAACCAGAATATTGGTAATTATTTAGGCCCCTATAATACTGGGAACGCATGGACCTGAAGCTGCCTCTCTTTCTGAAGGTGCCGATTGAATTTACCGTGGCATCTTCGGCAGGAAACCAAAGGATGCGGTTTGTAGCGAGAATGCTCTCTCGCCCGGAAACCTGTGTCCCGCTTTTGAAAATCTTCTGGTATGAACGTCTTGGGGATGCTGCTATCAGCTTGCGTGATCCGTGTGCTGAACTCTCCTTTTTTGGTGCACAGTGCATCCGAAGATACCCCTGTTCTTGCCCAAATAGTCCAGGCAATTAATTAGTAATCAGGAGCTGCTCCCAGACATAGACTATAGCTGATATCGAGAAACGTCCTACTGGGAAGTGTGGTAATTGAGCATGCTAATGTCATGCGGGCTTTAATTTAACGACCCGAGCATACAGTGACCGGCGCATACATGCCCAAACCTATATATATATATGTATATGTATACATACATACATGTATATATACACATACATGTATATATATATATATATGTGTATATACATACCGTTTTATCCCTGAGAGTGACTTGTGCATCCATGCCGGCACCATGCTGTGATGCTTAGCCCCCGTGCAGAGCATATGCCGACATGTTACACAGTTTGGACGCTAAGGGGTTCTACAGGGACTGGGATGGGGATCCATTCCTCCTTCCTTGACCCTAAACCTGAACCATATGACTTAAAATCCAGAATCCCACATGAAGTACACATACTAATGCATACATGTATGTATATATATATATATGTATTGAGAGACTCCCTGCACGTCTCCACAACCCCTACTATGAGCCCAAAACCCTACACCCACTAATGGCAATTTCCATTTCCTTTTCACTCCCCCTATACTATACGTAACCCTTTAATGCGTGTAACCCTTCCCCCATGCAATTTAAATCCCCTACAAAATTCTTAGATATATATATATACATATATATATATACATATCCCGCCCGTACAATGCACAACCCCTATATGATTCCTATCACCCTAAACCCCAAACTGCACCCCGCAAGCACTTCGCAGCTACGCTGCTGAAGCGCACGGGAGCCGTGCAACTCTCAGTGCGTTTGTCCAGAGTGCCGTCGGGTTCGGCCTGGGCTGGGTGAAGTTGTTTGAGCTCTAGCATGGAAACTACTATAGCATGTGGGGATATCTTGGGATACTGGAAAAGAAAATGGAAGCTACTAAAATATATTGGGGACATATTGGGGATATATGAGCCATAGTCTAAACTCCTAGTATCCCCCTGAATAACTCCTATTCTAATGGTCCCTTACATATTCGCCAATATAACGGAGTTTAGACTATAGCTCATTGTGGTTTTGAAGCGAATACACGGTTTAGGGGTGCAAGGTTTAGGGTGTAAGGTTTAGGGGTTCAAGGTTTTAAGGGCTTAAGGTTTACAGTTTAAAGTGACCTGATATACACACTCCTCAAGAAAAACAATGAATCCTACACAATATCTAGCTTCCGTTGAAGAACGCTGCATGCTTTTATCTTGAGGCAAGCTGCATTCCCGCCCTTACAAACAAACCCTTGTCAATCAAGACCTCAAGCAAGAACACTTTCTCGGGGAAATGATCTTCTTGAGGTATAGGTTGCTTTGCGGAGGCATTCTGTTTTCTTGAAAAAAGGCGTTGTCTGCGTGCCCAATTGCT